TTAAACTGGTTAAAAAGGCAAATTTTGTGTTGCATATATTTTACCATAATAAGTATACACACACATAAAGTAATGAGATGTCATCTCCGTGATTAGGTTATACTATAAAAGACTCTGGCTTCCCATCTTGCTAGCAAACTGCTTCTTGTCTCCTGGGCTAATGTGCTTTAATGAAGCAATCAACTGTGTTGCAGAGACCCACACGGCAAAGAACTGACAGCCACCTCCAGTCAACAGCCCTCTAGGAACTGAGTCTTGCCCATAACAACATGAATTAGAAGTGGATCCTTCCCCAGTCAAATCTCAGATGAGACCACAGTCCTGCACAACACCTTGAATTCAGCGGGAAAGCCTCTAAGGCAGAGAACCCAGCCAAGTCACATGCAAATTTCTGACCCACGGACACTGTGAGATGATACATATTGTTGTTCTCAGCCACTAAGTTTGGGGTAATTTGTTACACAACAATGGCTAATACACTATCATTATTATTACTTTTATTGTTATCATTAGCTTAATTTTATAAAGTGAAGAATTATATGGGCTTTAATAGGCACACCCTTGAAGGATGGAGTCCCTGCCTCCTGGCTAGATGTTTGCCCCATTCGGAGCCTCAGTTTCTTCATCTGTAAAATGGGATTAATATGGGCAGGTAATGAGGATGAGATGCAGGTGATATGCTTAGCTGAGGCCCTCCAGGTGGGAGTCGTCAGGTGCACGGGCTCCTGTGATGAGAATAATGATTGGGGGCACAGAGACGTCTCATCTCTGCCTTGTCTGGTGTCACCCCTCTGAATACAGGATATGAGGCTGGAGGGCTTTCAGCAACTGTGCGCTTGTTAATGCAGGATTTGTGCCTCTCCATTCTGCCTATATACCCTGTCTGCGCATGGGGGAGTCCGTGGCAAGGGTTCTGCGTGTCCCCTGGCTCCATCTGCGACCTTGAAACTGCTGGGTCCATCGTTATAGACGACGCGTTCCCAGGAGCCTAAGGGCGACTGGGCTGCGGGGAGGTAGGGGTAGGACTGGGCCTGGAGAGAGCTGGGGGAGAGAGGTAGCTCGCTTCGCTCTTCGGATCCCCCCTCCTCGCCTCCTGTGAGTCTCGAGACCCTCAGCACAGCCACTTCTTCCTGCCTCTTGGCAGAGAGGGCAAGCGGCAGGCGTTGCCTTGGCAACGCCGGGATGCCCAGCAACAAGTCCGTGGCGGGTGTCACGTGCCTGGCGCAGACCAATCTGAGCGTCCGCCGGGAAGCAGGTCAGTTTGGGCCAAAGTCCGCCTCCCTCCGTCCTCCCTCCCCCGCCTGCCGCTCGGAGCTAATTACCGTAATTGCTGTGGGAGAGCTCCCGAGTGCGCGGGGGCTGGGGCTGGGGGCTGGGCAGGCCCCGAGAGGTTGAGCAGGCAGGGCAGAGAAGCAGGACCTTCTTACTTCAGCAACCTCACCTTTGCCTCCATAATTGTCATCAAAGCGCTCATTAAGCGCCTACTGTGTACAAACTACTGTAAGGGAGGAGGGCCAGCGCGCTAGCGGTGAGGGTGGGGAACCCTAGCCTTTTGCTTGAGTATTTCCGAGTTTGGGGGCGCGAATCAGATCAATGGGTTTGATTCCTAAAATTCGTGGTCTCACGGAACTGTTCGATGGCGGTTGACTGTACTGAATCACACACAAACCCCCACCTCCCACCCACCCTCCGCTGAGTTTCGATTTCCTTCTGTATGAAAAATATGGAAAATACGCTTTTGAAGGGAGTGTATACAGATTCAGTTCTGGATAGACAGGTTCGAATCCCATTGCTTCCATTTAGCGTTGTGTGACTCTCCCTTAACCACTCTGAGCCTCTGATTCCCCATCAATTAAAAAGCAAGTTGGAAAATCCCAGTATCTATTCATGGGGATTTTAAGTATCATTGAGAGAATGTATGGGAGGCACATAGTAAGCATTCAGTAAAAGGAAACTATTCATCATGGTTCCAGCTTTCAGTTATGGTCTGTGAGACCTTCCAAATGTCATTCAATGGCTCTGAATTCAGTTTCTTCCATAGATAAAATGAAGGGATTGGATAAGGGACCTCATGGCGAGTTGGCTGCCACTGAAGTTCATTTCTCTGAATAATTCTTTTTAAAAGAGCCAAATCAGAGGTTTTCAACGTTAAACACTCCTGTGGGCATTTGAGCTTTCCATTCTTCAACTAGCTGATCTCTTAAGTTATTTCCAGTTCTTTGCTTTGTTCAGTCTTTCATCAACAAGCATTAGTTGAGCCCCTGCTGTGTACTGGGCTCTGCTGCGGGTTTGAATCCTCGGCCTCATTACAGAGTTTGAGGCTCCACAGACCTACTCTGTCATGGACCACAGGGAATGACCCGGGATTTCAGTGGACGGGAGGGCATGGATCTGGCCTGCTCTCAGTTTCTCCAGGGCTGGTTTCCGCTCCAGGCCTTTGCACCCTCTGACTGGTCAACCCTTGTGTTTTCCTGCACAGATAGCACGGAGGGGCCTCCTGAAACATGCTTATCTCTTCTTTTGCCTCAGCTTTGGTGCACTCCCCTCCACCACTGTGGCAGTCAGGAATTCTGTTCCTGTCCCCTCCTCCACGGCCACTAGGACGCTAGGTCAGGCAGTTAGAGCAAGGGCAGTTGTGGGGAGGGCTGTATGGGAAATTTTTTCCATACAGTTTCTGAAACATGTTCAAAAGCTGAGAAAGGAGAAGACAGCATTACTTCAGGATCTTTCCAGGACTCAGGGCTGAAGTGGAAACCAGGTCTTTACTGACTGGGCTATACAGCTCGACTCAGCAGCCCAAGAACCCCCCTTCAGAGACTGGGGGCTGGTCCCACTCCAGACACAAACAGCAACCAGAGAATGTGGCCATGCAGGTGGACTCTGGATCCAAACGGCAGCTCTCCCTTCTTCCCTGCCCTGTGCGCTTGGGCAAGTGTCTCAACCTCTATGTCTGCCTCTATCTTTGGGAAAAGAGGCTACGAGCAGAGAGCTTGGTAGGTTAACATGAGGATGGGATGAAGCAAAAAGATCCCACAACTACCAGGTGCTCAGTAAATAGAAAATTGGTTTTGAACACAGGAGGATACCAAGAGAGGAGCCATTCAAAGGAATGGCAAGATGACATATGGTGGAGACATCCAGCCCCAGCGTCACCCTTGGGTGTGACCATGAGCTAGCCATCTAGTGGCTCTGTGCTTCCCTCTCCCCTCGTCTTTCAGACAGGGACAAAACTCCAAGTTCTGGCCACCTGGAAGGCAAGGATGTGAGATCAGAGCAGCTAACCACCTGAGAAGGGTTCTGGCAAGTTCTGGAAGGTCCACAGCATCCCTCACAAATATCTATTGTAGCCCACTGTTTTCCAGACATTGTATTTAGTGCTAGGACTCAAAGAACTATGGGAGAGCCAAGGAAAAGAGCACCTGAGAGAGGGCGGGGAAAGCTGGATTCTAGTCCTGGCTGCTGTCCTGACATACTGTGTGAGCTGGAGAAAGCTCCTTTCCCTCTCTGGGCCTCCTCAAAATGAGTGGCAGGGGGTCTCTGCAATAGGAAGACCTCCCTTCAGGTCCCTCCTTTGCTCCCTACTTCCTCGGTGTCCTTGGAAGGATCTCTCCACTTCTCTGAGCCTCAGTTTCCACTTCTGAAAAAAGGCAATTCAGTAATTATGCAGCAGGGTGGCTGAGAGGAGAAAATTCGATCATTCATTCATTCACTTAATGGCTATAAATTCTGAGCACTGGAAAATACACACTGGGGTTAAAATGGGCAAGATCAGCTGGCCCAGTGGTTAAGAATCTGCCTCGCAATGCAGAGGACACAAGTTCAGTCTCTGGTCAGAGAGCTCGGGTCCCACATGCAGCGGAGCAGCAGAGCCCACACGCCCTGAAGCTTGTGTGCCACAACTAGAGAGTCTGCGCACCACGACAGAAGATCCCATGTGCTGCAACTAAAACCCAATGCAAATAAATAAATATTTTTTTTTAAGAATAACAAAATGGGCAAGATCCTGGCCCTTATAAAGCTCTAAGCATATAGTTAATAACAGATAAATGAGCACTAGTATCATTGTGATTGGACTTCCCAGGTGGTTCAGTTGTAAAGAACTACCTGTCAATGCAGGAGATGCCAGTTTGATTGCTGGGTTGTTAAGATTCCCTGGAGAAGGAAATGGCAACCCACTCTAGTATTCTCGCCTGGGAAATCCCATGGACAGAGAAGCCTGGCAGGTTACAGTCCATGGGGTCACAAAGAGTTGGACATGACTGAGTGACTAAGCACGCACACACACATCATACATTTATTATATATAAAGTGTGCAGTGTTTGACACACAATAGATGCTCAGGAAACCCTAGGTAATATTATTACAGTAGTTTCCAGGACACACACAGCAAGCTGTTTCCCTCTGTCACAGGGTCTGAAGTTTAAACTGCCTGACCTTTGGGGTGATTCTCCCTTGAGGGGATGGGGGCGGAATGAGACCTTCATGAGGGATTCCCCGGTGGCCTCAGGTGGGGAGGGCGACCTGTGTGTGGTCCTGTTTGTGCACACTGTCCCTTCTGGATAAAGGCTTCCATTAATCTCCCCCTGCCTGGACTTCAGGGTCAGGTTTCGGGGCCCCAGGCGGATGTTGTCCAGAGTAGCCCTGTTTCCTTAATCCTCGGGGCTCCAGAGCCTGTCCTTAGAAGAGAGAACAGCGGGCCCGCTGAGGCCACCATCTGTGCAGTCTTGGTTTGTAAATGCTCATGAGGGTGGCAGGAAGGAGGTCTCTATAGTAACGGCTGAGGAAGGGGCTGTGTGTGCGCGTGTGCCTCACTGTGCTTGTGTGTGTGCCTGAGTGTGTGTGTGTAAGGCAGGGGACAGGGAGCAAGAATCATCCCAGATCCTTAACCCTTACTCTGAAACCTTTATTTCTGCCGTGATGAGCTATTAATTAATTCTCACTGCTGGCTTATTATCCCCAGAGATAATGAGCTACTCCTGTTCCTAACTGGAGTCTCCCGGGGAACGTTTTCTAAAGAGATTCATCCATTTCTGCCCACCTGCACCTGCCTGGGACACATGCAAATGGTGAGGATCCCAGGGACCCAGGGGGCTCAGGCAGAACAAAGGGGGCTCAGCTCCGTGAAGCTGAGATTCCCAGCGAGCTGACAAGGGCAGAGCTCCAATGAGCAAGGGCACAGTAAGTGATTTTTAAATGCCAGCTATGGTGAATTATGGAAGGTGGAATGCAGCCTCCCGAGGTGCCAGTGTTTGCAAGGAAAAGTAGCCCCATCTCTTTGAATGGACCTGTCAGACTGAAAGGCAGGCTCAGAGAGCTAAGAGGAGAAACCAGGGGTCCTGACTCCATGTGCAGAGTCCAGATTCTCCCCTGACCTTTGCATATGCTGTTTCCCCCATCAGGAATGCACTTCCTGCAACTTCACCTAGCTTGCTCCTCCTCAGCCTAAGGGTTTAGACAGTGGGGCAACCTCCAGGAAGCCCTCCTTGATTTATTCTTCCTTCCTTGGCCTGAATGGGGGCAGGTGACTCCTCTGAGTTCCCACAATGCCCAAGTCTCCTCCATCACAGCTTTGTTCATTTGGAGCTGTAACAGCCTGGGACTGTCTCTCTTAGACGTTTTGTCAAAGAGTATGTCTTATTCTTCCACACATGCTAGTAAGTAAAAAAGAGCATTTTGCAAGGTTTGAATAGAATGCTTCCTTAGATGTTTAAAAAAAAAAAAAATAGGAGAAGGGACTTCCCGGGTGGTCCAGTGGCTAAGACTCTGAGCTCCCAAAGCACTGGGGCCCAGGTTTAATCCCTGGTCAGGGAACTAGGTCCCACAAGCTGCAACTAAAGATCCCGCATGCAACTAAGACCTAACACAGCCAAATAATATTTTTTTTTTTTTAAAGAAGGGAATGTGCAGGGGCAGTGGAGAGGATTTTGAGCTTTGGAACCAAGAATCAGAGCTATATTCAAATTCTTGCTCACTTGGTTTCTGGGTGGCCTTGCATTAGTTTCTTAGCTACTCTGAGATTCAGTTTCTTCATCGGTAAATTGGGAACAACAATGGTAGCTATCTTATGGGGTTGTTCCAAGGCCTTAGAAATACTTGGCATTTAGAATGTTTGGCGCAGAATCCTGCACAAAGTAAAAGCTTGAGGAGGGAGAGGAAGAAAGGTGGGGGAGGCTTTTCTGTGTGATCTACTCCTTTCCTGAGTGACCAGACCCCTGGTCACCTCTCTCTGATTATATCTCCTAATACCACACTTGGTCATCCTCCAACACATCCATCAGGACCTGTTCCCCTGCCCCCAGGGCTTTTACAACTGTTCCTTCAGTCCCATGTTTATCCTTTAAATTTCTCCACAGCTGCTACTTTATTTTACAAATAAAGTTTTATTGGCACATAGTCAGACTCATCCAGTTATATATTCTTCAAGGCTGCTTTTGAGCAACAACAGCAGAGGGGAGTAGCCACGAGGGAGACCGGCTGGCTTGCAAAGCTGAAAATATTTACTTTCTGGCCCTTTACAGAAAAGTTTGCTGACTGCTGTGCTATCACAAACCCCTGGTCTGTTTTTTTTCATAGCAGTCATCACTGTGTGAGGTTATCCTGTTCCTTTATTTCTTTACTTGTTTATTATCTTCTGCACTAAACAGAGGGCAAAAAAATCATATTAGCTTGGTTCACTGTTATATTCCCAGTGCCTGACACATGTGTGTGAGTTACTCGCTCAGTCATGTCTGTTTGTGAACCCATGGAGTATATAGCCCACCAGGCTCCTCTGTCCATGGCAAGAATACTGGAGTGGATTGCCGTTCCCTTCCCTTAGCCAGGGAATCTTCCTGACCCTGGGATCAAACCTGGGTCTCCTGCATTACAGGCAGATTCTTTACAGTTTAAGCCACCAGGAAAGTAGCTGGTATATAGCAGATATTTTAAAAAAAACAAACTTTTTTTTTCTGATGTAGATGAACATATCAAGTAGGCTTTGGAGGTGAGGTGCAGATCTGGTCACATCTTTCCAGAATTTTGGAGGAGAGGAGACTTAAGAAACCTTCTAAACAAACCCCTGCTTCCTTGGTGGCTCAGTTGGTAAAGAATCTGTCTGCAATGCAGGAGACCTGGGTTAGATCCCTGGCTTGGGAAAAACCCCTGGAGGAGGGCATGGCAACCCACTCCAGTATTCTTGCCTGGAGGATTCCCAGGGACAAAGAAGCCTAGGAGGCTGCAGTCTATGGGGTCACAAAGAGTGGGACACGAGTGAGTGACTAAGCACACTAGTGGGGGGGGGGCAGACCCTGTGTACACAGCACACCCTTGTAGAAGACAGTGATGGGGCCAAGTCTCAGGGTTGAAAGGAAGAGCCTGGAGTCTGACTCATCTTCTTATTACAAAGCCCACCCCTCTGCAAAAGAAATGGAAGATGGGACAATGAAAGGCAATGCATGATTCTGAATTGGATCCTGGCTTGGGAATAAATGCCGTTAAGACAGGACTGGCGATAGCTAGCTAGCAGGAAGCTGCTGTATAAGGGAGCTCAGCTCTGTGCTCTGTAATGACTTAGAGGGGTGGGACGGGAAGGGGGAAGGGAGGCTCAAGAGGAAAGGGATGTATGTATACACATGGCTGGCTGATTCACATTGTGGTAAAGCAGAAACTAACACAACATTGTAAAGCAATTATATTAATTAAAAAATAACACACAGGACTGGGACGACTGGTGATACTGGAATGTGGACTTTGGATTAAGCAGTGGTGTTGTAACAGCTTTAACTTTTTGGTTGGGATCATTGCATTAAGTTAGTAGTAGAGTTGATCTTGGGGAATGTGTGCTCAAGTATTTAGGATGAAGGAGCAGTTGTGTCTGCAGCTTACATGATTGGAACAGAGGCAAATATATCTGTAGAGAAAAAGACAAAGAGAAAGTCAGTCAGTCAGTTCAGTCGCTCAGTCGTGTCTGACTCTTTGTGACCCCGTGAAGCACAGCATGCCAGGCCTCCCTGTCCATCACCAACTCACGGAGTCCAGCCAAACCCATGTCGGTGATGCCATCCAACCATCTCATCCTCTGTCGTCCCCTTCTCCTGCCCTCAACCTTCCCCAGCATCAGGTCAGCTCCAATGAGTCAGCTCTTCACATCAGGTGGCCAAAGTATTGGAGCTTCACCATCAGTCCTTCCAATGAACACCCAGGACTGATCTCCTTTAGGATGGACTGGTTCGATCTCCTTGCAGTCCAAGGGACTCTCAAGAGTCTTCTCCAACACTATTCAAAAGCATCAATTCTTCTGCATTCAGCTTTCTTTATAGTCCAACTCTCACATCCATACATGACCACTGGAAAAACCATAGCCTTGACTAGATGGACCTTTGTTGGCAAAGTAATGTCTCTGCTTTTTAATATGCTGTCTAGGTTGATCTTAACTTTTCTTCCAAGGAGTAAGCGTCTTTTAATTTCATGGCTGCAATCACCATCTGCAGTGATTTTGGAGCCCAGAAAAATAAAGTCAGCCACTGTTTCCACTGTTCCCCCATCTATTTGCCATGAAGTGATGGGACCAGATGCCATGAAAGTAAACGTGGCCAAATGTTAATAATGGGTGGATTAATCCAGGTAAAGATGATATGAGAGTTCATTGCACTATTCTTGCAACTTTCCCGTGGGTTTGAATTTCTTTTTAAAAAATTTAAAAAAAAAAATTTTTTTTTAAAGAGGAGAACAAATAAATGAGGTAGCCACCCCCAGACTTCTTTCCTGTTTCTTCCTCTTCCTTTCATGGCAGGCTCCCTGCTCCTCCTTTGGAGCTGGGAAGTCAGAGCTGTCCTCCACGTGGGAGGCAGAATGGAAGAATTAAGGCAGAGTGTTTCAGCTGCACTCCCACAAGTCATGTAGCTGACAGTGAACTTATTGTGTATCTACTATGTGTCAGAATTCCCTTCTGCATCCATCCTTATGTTTTTTGTTTGAATGCTTTATTTTTGGCTGTGCTGGATTTTTGCTGCTGTGCGGGCTTTTCTCAGTTGTGGTGAGCAGGGGCTACTCTCTAGTTGCAGTGCTTGGGCTTCTCATTGCAGTGGTTTCTCTGGTTGCAGGGCATAGGCTCTAGGGTACTCAGGCTTCGGTAGTAGTGGTGCTCAGGCTCAGTAGATGCAGCTCCCGGGTTCTAGAGCACAGGCTCAATAGTTGTGCCTGGGCTTACGTGCTCTGCAGCATGTGGGATCTTCCCAGATCAGGGATCAAACCTGTGTCTCCTGCATTGGCAGGCAGAACTCTTTACCACTGAGCCACCAGGGGAGCCCTATCCCTATGGGTTTGACGGAACTTTTCCCCAGTGTATGGATGGGGCTAACCCTTGGTTTGGCACTTTGTTGACAAACACTAAGTGCCTTATCTGATGCCCCTGAATTCACAGGTGATTTCCAGGTAGCTCACTTGTGAGCTCAGATTCCACCCAATGAGCAGCTCCGTCAGGGGACGTTCACACTAGGGACAGCACAAGCCAGGACAGAAGTCCCTCTGTTGTCACACACAGTACTTCTAAGCATAGTTACGTCTTCATGTCTTCCTCCCTAAAGGTAGGGTTGGTTGCTGAATTCATGTATGTGTCCCCATTCTCTAATACAAGAAAAGTCTGTTGAGTCAGTAAGTGAGTGGAATGTCTTGGAAAATGATCATAGCTACACTATTGGGAACCTTATCATGTTCAGACATGATTTCTAGTGCTATGCCAAGCTGCACTGGAGCCTGAGGCAAGAGGAGAAATCAGTAATGCTGATCATGTCTTTATTTAAAGTTAGGTATTTTGTTCATTGTGGATTTTTTGCATTAATTTTTATTTCATAAAACACTGGATTGCTGAGGGATTTTTGTAGCCCCTTAAGTTTTGCATCTGAGGCCACTGGCTCCCTCACCCTAGCCCCAGTCCTGATTATTTATTTCCAACACATAATCTACAAGCATATCATTAATTCCTCATCTCAGTGCTCTGAGAAGGTACTACCATCATTGTCATTTCACAACTGAGGAAACTGAAGCACGAAGAGGTTTGATTGTACCAGAATACCCACAGCAAGGAGGAGAAAAATCTTGAGTTTGAAGCCAAATTCGTGTGTGTTTTGTCTCAGAGCCAGCTCAGGAAAGCAAAACAATAAACTAAAGTTATGAGTTTGGTTTTGAATCAAGGAATAAAAAGATCTAGGCTTGCAACTAAGAGTTTGCATGCCTCAACTAAAGAACCCACATGCTGAGCTAAGACCAGGAGCAGCCAAATAAATATCTATATATATTTAAAGAATCCTAGCAAGTTATTAAAAAAAAAATCTCGGCTTTAATTTCACCTCAGCCCCAGCCTCCTCTGAGCCCTATAGTCCCACAGACTGCAGTTTCCTTATCTGGAACTGGACTTAAATGTTCTGCCCTGTGCACTAGTTTTCTCTCTCCTGATTCAGCAATAGCACAAGCTGGGAATGGGAACAAGTAGGTACAGACCAGGGTTCCTGAGTTGACAGGGAGTTCAGAGACCTAGGAGGGGGTTGGGCCCTCGGGGAAGACCCTGGGGAACACAATGACTGCCCCTTTCCCCTCCTGAAAACCTCTAACCCAGGTTTTGGGCAGATGCCAGACTTTTATTCTGAAGCCGAGGCCACAACCTATGAGGTAATCTTTGGAGTTGCATTCGAGGCGGAGTGTCATTGGCAGGTTGGCAAAGCCCCTCCCCCAGGTTCCCGGCGCCCCGCCTTCCCTGAAGCTCATAAAAGCACAGGTCCCCCGCCTAGGCATCCACTGGACACCTGCAACTGCCTACAGGACTGAAAGCAGGTGAGGCACACAGGGCTGGATGAAGCTGCGTGGGGGGAGGGGGTGGTCTGAGGGACGCGGGTTCCTGTGAATGGGGCTGGTTTGCAGGTCAGGTCATGACATTTTCCTAATAGGTGACGAAGACTGCGAAGTTTGACGGCCTGGAAAGCAGAGGCCAGCCGTGCTATCTGGGAGGTAAGTTCTGGAAACATTCCACGAGGTGGGGTGCAGGTATGAGTCCTAGTTAAGACCTCTCCGTGTCTCCCCTACCTAGCGCCGGAAAGCGCGCCTGGAAGAAGAGTGGAGGGGGAAAAACTGTACTGGTTCCCAAGAGGGAGAAGAACAGAGGGGACTGGAGTGACCTGGGGATGACAGGAAAGCAAATCAAGTTTCTTCAGCACCGAGGCGGGGGACAGCTCTCCGACGACCACGGAAGGAAATTGCTATTTATTTCAGCACCGAGACTCCGGACAGCGCCGCTCGGGGTCCAGGAAGCGAGCCACAAGCTGTTTCAGCACCAGAGCTCCGGACAGCTCCTAGGGATATCGGGGCCGACTTCATTTCAGAACCAGGACGCTGGATAGCTTCCCTGGTACTGGGAAGCCCTTGTACTCACAAGTCACAAGGGGGCGGGGCGGGGCGGTGGGGGTGGTACAGAGGGTGGTCTGAAGTGTCTGACATTTCTGGAGACTTGTTCTTCATTTAATGAATCTCTCAACGAATTATTTTTCAAACAAGCAGGTGAGATAAAAGTGCACACACACAAAAATCTAATCTCCAACAGGTGAGACGGCCAATCGGTAATACGGGGGATGGGGGGGGGGGGGGGCAGACGCCTGCCAACATGACATTAGTGTCCTCTTTCCAGACTTCTGTGAGAAGCATAGTGCCAAGCGTTTTACATACATTATATCTTGCCTTATTTGGCCCTGGGACATGAGTTTTTGTTACACTCAGGTGACAGCTGAGGAAACTGAGACCCAAAGAGGGGCAGGGATGTAACAAGCCCAAGAGTGAAGCTGCAAGTCAACCCCACAGCTTCCCAACTCCAAATTCCATGTTTCCAATATAGCTGGGTGGGAGTTGGGCCCCTGGGGATCAGACCCTGCCTCTCTCCAGGAAGACCAGGAATGGATACCAGGAGACAGTGGAGAACAGGTGTCATGGCTTAGCTCAGGTGAGGGGAGATAACTCAGTGGGAATCTAAAACATGGGGCAGACGGTGGCGAAGAAGACTGGAGTGGTTGTGGTCTAGTGCTGTGTGGAAGACTAGTGATTTTGTTGTTCTGATGTACTATGACAACAAGTCACAGCTTCCTCATAGCGTGGACTCCCATCGACCTCCTCCCAAGATGAACAAGGAAGTGTTGGGGGTGGGGACTCAGGGAGGAATCACTTCCACCCAGGGGTTGGGCTGACTAATACCATGGAACAAGGGCAGGGGAGGGAACAATATAGGGGGCATGCACCCCAAGAACATATGGCGATGTATGCTGTTGGTCATGTCCCTCAGATGCACCCCACAGGCCTGGAAATACAAAACACCTGACTCTGAGTCCAGGGCTCTTAACCATCTCATTACACCTTCCTCGGGGATCAATGAGGGAATGACATTTGAAGGCCTCCCTAGGTTAGGGTTTTACAGAGACTTCTCAATAAAAGTTCTGAGGAGTGATTTTTTTTTTCCCTCCCAACCCTGCCATCAGTTCCATAGACCAATTACAGGAACACGTACAAACTTGTGTCTAGTAGGTGGGTTGTGGCATCACTGAAGCTCACGCCCAATTCTCTCTGCACCCCCCTCCCAACAATTAAGTCACAAACACAACATCCAACTCAGGTCAGTCTCAGAACAGCATTCACCTTTGCTCTGCACCTCCCCCGCCACCCAGAGTGCCCCGGGGCTCATTCTGCCTCTTCATCCAAGCCTCATTTCATCAAGGGAATCTTTCTTTGTTGCATGACCACTCCCTATGTCCAGTCTACATTATACATTCTCACAGACCAGGGGAAGCTTCCACCAGCACTTGGTCTAATTGTTTTTGTGCTAGCTATTTACAGAACTGTCCCCCAACAACACTGTGAGCTCCATGAGGGCAGAGACTGTGCTTGTATGTTCAGTGCTGCATCCCTGGTACCCAGTCCAGGGTCTGGTACACAGCAGGTGCTCAATAAACACATTTGTTGACTCAGTAAAGGCATCTGGGAATAAACCAATACACCCATCAATAAATGAATTGATGGTTTTGGAACACACATGAAGACCCCACTTCTTTCTGGTCTCCCCTGAAGAGATACCAGAGGGTGATGGCTGCAGCAGGTGTTTATTGGGAAGAATAATTAAATTTGTGGACACTCAAGGGCCAGCCAGCCAACTAATAGCCCCAGGAGAAAGCCAGGCTCGTTTAATTAGCAATTACAAGGCATTGATTCCTCATTAGCTCTGGCAACCCCGTCTCCCTCCTCAGCCCCAGACGAATGAAATCTTTCTCTTTCCCAGGAGTACTGCCTCAGTGGGTCCATTAACAAGCAGAGAAAATAGGATTACAAGATATCTAAACGCCAGAGGCTCTTCATGAATGGGGAGGGGAGAGAGAATTCAATATCTGGGTTAAGGCTAATTGTGAGAGACTTTCTGGTATATTTAGAATTCTTCTCTGGGAATGAGAGAGCTTTCAGATATGAAAAGGCACCCGGAGACCGCCCTTTAGGGACCCCAGTGAAAGAGAAGGTTCTGCCCTTGTATTTCTAAGAATACCTATCCCTGGGTGTCTCTCCATCACTCCAAATTAATAATGTCAAGCTAAATGCCCAATCCACCCAATTCCCAACTTGCCCCTCCCTCCAGGCCCCCATCATGCGGCAGGCTCTCCACATCCCAGAGACCCTCCATCTCCCATATTCCCCAAGGAAAGTCATTTTCATCATATCTGTCCTCTTCTCCAGCCCCCTATCTCCATCACTACCTGGGCATCTCATAGTCTCTTCCTTCTTCCCTCAACACACACACACAGCCACTTCATTCCCCATATACAGTAAGGGGTCTTTCTAGATCAAAAATCTGACCATGTCCCACCCTTGAAAGAGTTAACTCTTTCAAGACTCCCATCACCTTCAGGATAAGATTCAAATATCCTCACAAGTGACTTACATGATCTGGCCCCTCCTTACTGAGAGTAATAGCCTATCATTTCCCACCAGGTATACTCAACAACTGGCCTGCCCACTATCACCTCTTGCTTGAATTCTCCAATTTTAACATGAGGATGATTTCCCGAGGGAACTCACCAAGAATGCACCTTCCCAGGATCCTCTCAGTTTCAATAAGCCAGGGGGTGGGGTAAGTCAAGGAACCTGCATTTTGAGCAGCTTCCCCGTTGATTCTTATTTAGGGGAATCCTTCCTTTGATTAAAAAAAAAAAAAAAGCCCCACTAGTCTTGGGGCTTCCCTGGTGGCCCAGTGGTTAAGATCCCACACTTTTACTGCAGGGGATGTGGGTTCAATCCCTGGTCTGGGAAATAAGATTCCATATTCTGTGGAATGGCACAAAAAAACAAACAAAAAACCACTAACCTTTTCTTTCTTCCAATGACCACTGGGTTGGGGGGGAAACCCCAGTTAATCTCACCAGTTTCATCTTTGTAGTCCTCCTATGTCCAGCTCTGTGATAGCATCTAATAAGTATTCAGTTGAGATGTTAATGTATGAAACCCTGTCACATTCATCAGACACAAAAGCGGGGGGGCCACATGTACCTACAAAGATAAGCCATCACCCATATGTACCTATAAAGGTGTCCATCCATCACCAGAGGTGCTGTGAACATAGGAACTGAAGGTACAACCCATGGAGCCATCTTACTATATGTCATCAGTGTCCAGTTAGCTTAATTTGGAAAATCCATGAAAGTAGAACCTGAGACAAGTTTGGTTTATTTGGAAGGTAGACCCAAGAAAGCAGACACAAAGAAATCAGAGTGAGGCAAAGAAGGAGGAGACACCAATATACAGGAAGACAGTGGAGTTCTTCTAACAAAATGAAAGTTTATTTTCTTCCCTTTGACTCATCAGTTTAATGCCTAGGTCTACATAGAAGGGAAAAGAATATTTCCAGAGAGCAAATCTCACAAAAACAGTCATGACAGCTTTGTTGGGAATAGCTAAAAACTAACTACTGGCAAATGGACAAACTGTGGCAGAGCCACACCATGAGATACCTCTCGGGGTGCGGGGGGGAAGGAACAAATTGATGATACAGGCAGCAGCCCAGATGACTAAAAGTCATGCGGAACAAAAGAAGCTGGACACAAAAGGATACATACTGCATGATTCCATTTATATGACATTTAAGAACTGGCAGGGAATTCCCTGGCAGTCCAGTGATTAAGACTCCCTGCTTCCACTGCAGGGGACACGGGTTTCATCCCTGGTCAGGGCAGTAGATGCCACATGCCACAACTAAGAGTTCACATGCTGCAAGGAAGATCAAAGATCCTGAGTGCTGCAACTAGCACCCAGTGCGGCCAAATAAATAAATACATAAATATTTTAAAAAGAGAAAGTGACTCCTTCCACAGGGTCTTTCAGAAAAAATAATTTATTGTTCTCTGATGGGCTTCCCTGGTGGCTCAGACAGTAAAGAATCCGCCTGCAGTGTGGGAGACCTGGGTTTGATCCCTGGGTTGGGAAGATCCCCTGGAGAAGGGATGGCAACCCACTCCAGTATTCTTGCCAGGAGAATCCCCATGGACAGAGGAGCCTGGCGGGCTACAGTCCACGGGGTCGCACAGAGTCGGACACGACTGAGCAGCCGAGGACACTGATGGGACCAGAAGCCTTTCCAAGGCTTGGGGCAGGGCGGCAAAGGATGCTGAGCAGGGACACTGGGCAAGCCTCTCTCAGCCTCAGCTTCCCTGTCTGTGAAATGGAGTGATTACAGCTTCTTTCTTCAAACTGTTATAAAGATCAAGGAGATAGTGTGTGTAAGTGCATGGCACCATGGACTCAGGAAATGATCCTGAGGAAATAATGATGCTGATAAAAGTATAAAGAGGGACAAACAACGGTTTGATAGACAAGAAAAAAGGAAGAAAAGGAGGGAGGAAAAAGGAAGGAAGAAAGGAAGGGAGAGAGGGAGAAGGAAGGGAGGGAGGAAAGAAAAGGGAGGGAGAGAGGAAAGAAGGAAGAGCGACAGACCCATTTCTCAGGTCCTGGACAGAGACTGATCCAGTTCTTCTTGAGAAACTACCCTAAGTTCACACCTGAATCACTTCCCGTATCAGCTCTCATACTCAAGGGCCACCGCACACCTGCTCTGATTGTCCCATTGTCTTGGAACTAAGGGCAACCACGGACAGCCTCACTGTCTTGGAACTCAAAAAATCACTCAAGTTAGTCAACCCCAGGAGGCCCAGGAAACCTAGCTAACCCCACCACATGGCCTACAGAAGCTGCCTCCTACAGCTTCAGCTTGCTGTCCCCCAGTCCCCCAGGACAAGCCCTGTAGCCTCTTGTTTGGAGCTTCAAGTAACATAAGAAGCCGTTCTTCCATCTGAGTGTCACCGTGTCTGTCACACAGTCAAAAAAATCTTTAAATCCTGGGACTTCCCTGGTGGTCCCATGGTTAAGACTCCATGCTTCCAATGCAGGGGGCCTAGGTTTAATGCCTGGTCAGGAAACTAGATCCCAGATGCCACAACTAAGACCTAGTGCAGCCAAATAAATAAATTTTTTAAATCTTTAAATCTTATAAAATAAATACACATAAAAATTTTTCAACTTTTTGTTTTGTTATGGTTGTTTTGGCCATGCCACACAGCTTGTGGGATGGGATCTTTTCCAGGGATTGAACCTGAGCCCTCAGCAGTGAAGACAGAGTCCTAACTCCTGGACCACAGGGAAATTCCCTATTTCAACCATTTTAAAGTGACAATTCAGTGGCATTTGGTACGTTTACAAAGATCCAGAGCCAGCACCACTACCTACTTCCAGAACATTCTATCACCCTAAAAGGAACCCCATTCCCATTAAGCAGTCACTCCCCATTTCCCTCTCCCCATAGCCCCTGGCAACCATCCGTTTCCTGTCCCTGAGGACTTATCTGTTCTGGACATTTCATATAAATGACATCATACACCATGTGGTCTGTGGTGTGTGGCTTCTTTCACTGAACATAATTTTTTCAAGGTAGTGTGTATCAGTGTTCCTTACTTTTTCAAGGCCGAGTATTATTCCATGATGTGAATATACTATATTTTCTTCATCAAGACATTGTTTTGACAACTTTAACTACATTACCTCCTATGAAGTTGTGGTTGTTCAGTTGCATGGGGGAGTTTGCCAAGGCACCAATAAGGCACACCACACGTGGTCTCCAGTCAGCGCTGGAAACGGGGCGGGGGGGTGGGAGGTTGAGGGCAGAACTCGGATGCTTCATCATCTAGGGGCTGCTGTTCAGAGGGTGGTCGCCTCTCACCAGGGAGGGTGGGGGTCGGCCAGAGAGAGCGCCGATTATATCCTGTACCTTAATGGGTCCTTCAAAAGAGAGTGGCTTCAGTTTCCATGACAACAGGCAGGCAGCATCACAAGGAGATGGCTGAGTTTCCTCCCCCAACTCACAGCTGGCTCGGGAACCTGTTCCCTCCCATCGCTGCCTTTTTGGATCCCAGCTGGTGCTCAGCCCAGCCCAGAGAGGGCAGCTGTGTGGGTGGTCAGTGCTCACACCCACAGGTGTGCTCAGAGCGCCCTCTCTCTGGCCCAGCCCCAACGCGGTGAGGGAGGGATTGACGCAAACAGCACCCACCAGGCACACGTGCAAAGCAAAGCAGAAGGAGCCAGGCACGGGGAGCGGGGGGTCCCAGGGGCCTCCAGTCACCGGAGCTTTCCCAGACACGCATCTAGCCAACAGAGGGGATGGAGAAAGCTTTGAGGTAGAAGTGGTAAACAGGGCTGGGGACAAGGTAAGACTTTTTAACTGACAGTGACCACCCAGGTTACAGAATTCGCTCCTCAGGGCAGAAAAGGGATATTCTGACAGACCCCAGAGTACAGGTTGGGCTTCTCTGGTGGCTCAGTGGTAAAGAACCCTCCTGCCAATGCAGGCAACATGTGTTTGAGCCCTGGGTCAGGAAGATCCCCTGGAGAAGGAAATGGCTACCCACTCCAGTATTCTTGCCTGAAAAATTCCATGGACAGAGGGGCCTGGAGAGTTACAGTCCATGGGTTCACAAAGAGTGGACTCGACTGCGCAGTCTGAGCACAAAAAGTTACAAACAAGGCAAGGTTGGCTTAACACCTGAAAACCAATCAAAATAATTCACTATATGAACAACTAAAAGAAAAACCACATGATCATTTCAGTAAGTGCAGAGAAAGCACTTGATGAAATCTAACATCTATTCTTGATTTTTCTTAAGTTTCAGGAATCTAGTCATAGAGGGGAAGTTTCTCACCCTAATAAAGGATACCTATGAAAACCTGTAGCAAACAGCATCTTCTCTGGAAGGAAGAAGAAAAACTGCCTTTATTTGTGGAGGACATGATTGTGCATTTTAAATATGCCTAGTTTCTTGTATGTAAACTTTACTTAGTAAAGCTGTTTTTTAATATTCATTTTTATTTGACTGTGGAGATCTTTGATCTTTGTTGTGGCATGTGGGACCTAGTTCCCTGACCAGGGATCAAACCCAGCCCCCGCCCCACTCCCTGTATTGGTAATGTGGAGTCTTAGCCACCAGACCACCAGGGAAGTCCTGGCAAAACTGTTTTTGTTTTTTTTAAACAGAGACACAGGAAAACAGTATGGTGACGTTTCCAAACGTTAAATATAGAACTACTATATGATCCCACAATTCCACCCTTTCATCTATACCCCCAAAGAATTAAAACCAGGAATTCAAATTCTTATACACAAGTATTCATTGCAGCACTAGTCACAGCAGACAAAATGTGGAAATGACCCAAATGTCCATCAGTGGATGAATGGATAAACACAATGTGGTCCATCTACACCATGGACTATTACTGAGCCAGGATGAAAAAGAAAGACCAATGACATTTGCTACAATGTAGACGAACCTTGAAAACAGGATGCTCAGTTAGAGAAGCCAGGCACAGAAGGCCACACAGTGCGTGAGTCCATGTATACGAAATGTCCAGAACAGGGAAATCCACAGATGCACAGAGTGGGTTGGCGGAAAGAGGGTGCAGAGTGACTGCTAATGGGATGTGGCTGTCTTTGAGGCTGATGAAAATATTTTGAAATGAGATAAAAATGACAGCTGCAGAACACAGTAAACATACTAAATGCATTTAATACACTTTAATTAATGTTAGGGAATGGCATTTACAGTTCAGACTTCTGCAATTTAAAAAAACAGACATTTCATCATAGGCAGCTAGGAAAGTAGTATGGATGATATTGGTTTATTACTCAGAGATGTCTTATCTTGAGGGGAAAATGAAGAGGATTTTGTTGAAATGTGCTTTGGATAGATGTCTTTAACTCTGAGTCTCATTCACTGTGTTACAAAAAGGCCCCATTGTGTGATTAATTCTGGGGCTTTTAAGGAGAAGTGACCCCTCACCTTTGGCAACAAATGTCCCTGAACTTCTATCTTGTGGGTATGGGGTGATTCTATGAGGTACTGAATGAATGCATTCCTATAGGCTCAGTCGCGTCAGTTGTGTCTGATTCTTTGTGGCCCTTTGGACTGTAGCCTGCTAGGCTCCTCTGTCCACGGGGATTCTCCCACAAAGAGTGCTGCAGTGGGTGGCCATGCCCTCCTCCAGGGGGTCTCCCCAGACCAGGGAGTGGACCTGCAGTAGCAGGTGGGTTCTTTCCCACTGAGCCACCTGTGAAGCCCCTCTCTCCCTTAACGAGGGCAAGCCTTATCAACTTCCCAGCAAACAGAACAGGGTGGAAGTGATGCTAGGTGACTTCTGAGGCTGCGCGCTTCCTCTATCTGCAAATACAGTCACGTTAGGGGTTCGTGTTTCCCTGGTGACTCAGACGGTGAAGAGATCTGCCTGCAATTCAGAAGACCTGGGTTCGATCCCTAGGTACTCTAGTATTTTTGTCTGGAGAATTCCAAGGACACAGGAGCCTGACAGGCTATAGTCCATGGGGTCGCAAAGAGTTGGACACAACTGAGTGACTAACATTTTCACTTTCACTTTCAGGGGTTAGGGCTTCAATGTAAGAATTTGGAGAGGACCCATTCGGTCCCCAGCAGACACTAGGCTTGAGGTAGTTTGTTAAGACGAAATGGACAACTTGAGTGATCTGGAACACTACTTCATTCACTCTACCTGAAAAACCCTGTCCGTGAATGAAGCCTCTCTCCATGTCCTCATTCCCTCTCCAGTCAGCTACAATCTAGGGGTGTTCAGGGCTCCTGCAACCAAACCACACCCCCTGACTCAAGTTCTCTCCCTCCACCAGATTCCTGGCTCCTGAGAACACTGTGTCTCGCTCAATGCAGCATCCCAGCTTCCAGCACCTGGCCCACTGCGCAGTAAGTGCTTAGAATATAAATCAGCACGGCTGAATGAATGAATGAAAGACATAACCCCTCAGGCTGTGAGAGACCACATCAATCTATCTATTCCTTCGGGGGAGAGAGGCACGTTGAGGCTGCCTCTTAGAAACTAAATTGTGGCATCTTAACTGATGAACAGGCAGTGCCCCCAAGAGGGAGCAGACAGTAAACAAACTCTCAGGAGGGAACTCTGTGATCCGCTCAGTAATTACAGACAGGCAAATTAAAGCCACAAGCTACATGTAATGCTTTTCCAGTTATTACCGCACATCAAACTATTTCAAAATGTACAGGCTTAGAACACTCACTTGTGTATATCTCTCGGACATTTATGTATCTCAGGTCAGGATTCTGGGCAGATTCAGCATCTGTGGCCTGTGGGTGGGGTCAGGTGGATGGCTGGTCTGGAAGGTCCTAGATGATCTCCTAGATGGGCGACATCCTAAAGGGAAAGGGTTGGAAGGCAGGGATCAGTGGGGACAGCAGACCAGAGGGTCTACATGCGCCTTCAGCATGATGGTCTTTGGGTGGCTGACTTCTTTCCTGGCAGCTGAATTCTCAGACTCGGTACCTCAAGAGAACTGGGGGGAGCTGGTGACCTTTTGTGTCCGAGCCTCAGAAATCCCAGCGCCGGGACTTCCCTGGTGGCCCAGTGGTTAGGATCCCAAGTTTCCAATGCAGGGGACGTGGGGCTGATCCCTGGTCGGGGAACTAAGATACCACATGCACCACGTGGCCATGCCAAAAAATTAAACAATAAAATAGATAAGCAACACAGACCTACTGCATAGCTCAGAGAACTAAAAAAGAAAAAGAAAGAAAAGGAGAAAAAAAGAAGAAATCCCAGTGCCACTTCTGCTTTCTTGTAGAGGTCGAGGCAGGCATGTGTCCACCTACATTAAAGGGGAGCAGACACTGACCTCACCTCTCAATGGGAAAAGGGTCAGTGACTGTGGGGGGTCACATTTCAGAAGTGCCACAAACACCTACTGAAGTAGCAAGGAAGGAGGAGGGGGAAGGAGTGGGGCTTCAGGAAAAATCAGCCCTCCAACACCTTGACCTTGGACTTCCAGCCTCCAGAAGGTGATACAATAAACAACCTGTTACTTAAGGTGCCCACTCTGTCTTAGTCAGTTTGGGCTGATAAAATACCACAGACCCCTATTATAAACAATAGAAATCTATTTTTCACGGGAAAACTGTGAAGTCCAAAATCAGGGTGCCAGCACAGTCCAGTAAGGGCTCCCTTCCTGGGTCTTCTCGCTGTGTCCTCACTGGGCAAAGGGGGAAGATCAATCTCTATGACCCCTTTATAAGGGAAATCATCCCACTAGGGGGCTTCCCTGGTGCCTCAGTGGTAAAAAACCGCCTACCAATACAGGAGTCAGGGCTTCAATCTCTGGGATGGGAAGATCCCCTGGAGAAGGGGATGGCAACCCACTCCAGTATTTTTGCCTGGGAAATGCCATTGACAGAGGAGCCTGGTGGGCTACAGTCTATGGGGTCGCAAAGAATCAGACATGACTGAGCAAGTAAACAACAACAAATTCCCATTAGGGAGCGCTCCACCCTCACGACCTCATTCCCAGAGACGCCACATCCTAATACTATCAACTTTGGGGGCTAGCATGTGAATCTGTGGATGGACGGAGGCACAAAACTCAGCCCTTAACACACGCCTACACATGAACACAGTTATTTAATTTCATACCAGCCTCTCCCTCCTTGAACCAGATTCCAGAGAGAAGGGGGGGGGGGGTTGTGTATTTTTCTCCCAGTTGTGTCCCAGCTCCTAAAACAATGCTAAACCGACTGGCAACCTCATGAAATATTTATGGAATTGAATGAGGACGCCTCATCTTTGGCATTGCTATCTTGGGGGTCTCTCATATTATTTTCCCTATGTTCCTGAACGTTTAAAATATTTTCTCATTAGAAAGATTTTAAAGCGCCCTATGATGAAAGCCCCCCAGCTGGGGTTTGGCCCGCCCCAGAGGTCCCCGCGGCTTCCTTGCTTCTCCGCGCAGGTGGTCCGGCCGTGGGCCCGCATCGGCTGCCGCGATTAGGCGGCGCGGGATGGAAAGCGCGCAGCTGCTGGCGCCCCGCGGTGCGCACCTGGCGGGACGCCCGGGATGTGCCCGCGCATGGGGGCCTGGACGTTTGCAGCCTCCCGGGCCTGGCGCGGGGACAGGCGCTGGGAGAACGGGCTCCCCGGATGCAGAGGGGTGAGACAAGGGGCCGCCACCTGGGTGGGCCAACGCCGTTGCCAAACAGCGGCCTCCACCGTGCCTCCCTCCCTGGAAGCCTGCTGGGCAGCAGAAACAGTGGAGTTGGCCAAACAGGTTTGGGTTTTCTGGCACGTGGTATGGATGACCACGAGCGAACTTTTTGGCCAACCCCAATGCATCAGAAGGAGGAGGTTAGATCCTGCCAGGGCCAGGAAACATTAGCAAGGACGGTTGTTGTTTATTCCTTAAGTCATGCCCAACCCTTTGCCACCCCACGAACTATAGCTCGCCAGGTCCCTCTTGTCCATTGGATTTCCCAAGCAAGAATACTGGGAGTGAGTTGCCATTTTCTTCTCCAGGGGAATCTTCCCTACCCAGGGATCTAACCCAAGTCTCCTGCATTGGCAGGCAGATTCTTTACCCCTGAGCCACCTGGGAAGCCCTAGGCAGGGTGGAGGTGTGGTTAAAATGGGCTTCCTGGAGTGACCTCTTTATTCACTGCCACTCAGATTTATTGAGCGCCTACTGTGTGCTGCTAGAAACTGGGACACAGCAGTGAACACAAACAACCAAACTTCCTGACTTGTCTGGACTGGCATGGTAAGCAGGCAGACTGATACACACCATAAATATGCAAATGATACAGGACCTTAGGTAGCAAACTGAAATGTGCTGTGGGAAACGAAATAGAACGAGGTGGGACTTCCCGGGCAGGGCAGGGGGCTGGGGTGGGGGTGGGGGGCGCCAGTTCCATTCCTGGTCAGGGAACTAAGACCCCACATAGAGGCCAAAAAATAATAAAAACAGAGCAAAGTCGGGGGCCTGGGAGGAGGGTTGCTGAGACTGTAGATACTCCTATCAATGGTTTTGAGCTACCCAGTGGAGATACAGAGTAGAAAACTGGAAGGAGGTGGGCAGGTCCACACCACTGTGTGGTATTTCTGCCAAGCAGATTCAGAGGCATAAGTCACCTTGAAAGATAGGCAACTTTCAAAATACTCAGTGAACAATTAGGAGGTGATGAGTTTTTGAGTGTCACCTTTGTTTTTTATTGGGCTTCCCTTGTGGCTCAGCTGCCTGCAACTCGGGAGACCTGTATTCAGTCCCTGGGTTGGGAAGATCCCCTGGAGAAGGGAAAGGCTACCCACTCCAGTATTCTGGCCTGGGGTTGCAAGGAGTTGGACACGACTGAGCAACCTTCACTTTTGTTTTTATATGCTTTCTTAAGTGTTAAATCTCTGTTTTAATGTTCAATACTGGGTGGGTTTAATCTCTGGTTGTCAAAAATTTTGACAATTTAACAGCTCTTTTTTTTTTTTTTTTTTGGCTGTACCGGGTCTTAGTTGGGGCATGCAGGATCTTTGTTGCTGCATGTGGGATCTAGTTCCCTGAGCAGGGATCAAACCTGGGCCCCCTGTATTGGGAGTGCAGAGTCTTAGCCACTGAACCACCAGGAAAGTCCCCGGTGCACTTAGAAAGGGATAAAGGGACCGGAGCTCTCTTTCTTTCTCTCTCCTCTACATGAGAACACTGTGAGAAGGTGTCTACAAGCCAGGAAGAGAGTCTTTACCAGAAATCTAATCAGGCTGGCATCCTAACCCTCAACTTCTAGCCTCCAAAACTGTAAGAAATAACATGTTCGTTGTTTAAGCCACTGTGATGGTTAATTGTGTCGATTGTGTGTGTGTGTGTGTGTGTGTGTGTGTGTGTGTTTGGCAGCATTACACAGCATTCAGAACTTCCCCAGCCAGGGACTGAACCCATGCTGGATCAAACCTGGGCCCCCTGTATTGGGAGTGCAGAGTCTTAGCCACTGAACCACCAGGAAAGTCCCCGGTGCACTTAGAAAGGGATAAAGGGACTGGAGCTCTCTTTCTTTCTCTCTCCTCTACATGAGAACACTGTGAGAAGGTGTCTACAAGCCAGGAAGAGAGTCTTTACCAGAAATCTCATCAGGCTGGCATCCTAACCCTCAACTTCTAGCCTCCAAAACTGTAAGAAATACATGTTCGTTGTTTAAGCCACTGTGATGGTTAATTGTGTTGATTGTGTGTATGTGTGTGTGTTTGGCAGCATTACACAGCATTCAGAACTTCCCCAGCCAGGGACTGAACCCATGCCCCACCGCAGTGGAAGTTAACCACTGGACCACCAGGGAAGTCCGTACATGTCAACTTGACTGAGCTAAGAGATGCCTAGGGAGCAGGTAAAACATTATTTCTGGGTGTGTTTGTGAGGATGTTTCTGGAAGAGGTTAGTTAGCATTTGATTCATCCAATCCAAGGAGGGCAGGAACAGAACAAGGAAGTGGAGGAAGGGTTAATTCTTTTTCTTCTTGAGCGGGGACATCCATATTTCCTGTCCTCAGACGTCAGAGCTCCTGGGTTTCAGGGCTTTGGACTCAGTCTGAGTTACACCATCAGCTTTGCTGGTTCTCCAGCTTACAGATGGAAGATCACAGAGCTTCTCAGACTCCATAGCCACACGAGTTCAGGGGCTGTATTAGTCAGGAATCTCCAGAGAAACTGGAGAAGAAAAGTTCCCAGGGACCCTGCAGGGCCCTTCCCAAATACAAAGCCCCTTTGTATCCCCTGCCTCATCTGTAGAAAAGCTGGTCTCCTGGGCCTCCCTGAGTCACAAAAGAGCAGGCTCAGGCAGTCACAGAGTAGGACATTAGAGGCACAGTCTCGGTGTCCAAGGAAAGAATGAGATTAACACCGTTGCTCATAATAATCTATATCTTTGTGAGTATTAGGATAATTATAGCTTGCTCTGCCCACATGTGTAAGCAGGCAACTAAAACTGTTGGCAAATACATGCTACAGACCCGTGTCAACATCTTCCTCTCTGAAAACACAGCGCTCTATTGTCAGCACGAAGAAGTTATGGGAGATGGACCTCTGCCCCTAATCTCACAGAGTGGAATGATGTCTGACAAGTGGCGATTTGTAAGCATCTCATTTGCCTCTTTCCTGTTTATCTATTTCTGTTCCCCTTAAACCTTAATCATAAAAATGAGATCACTGGGTAGCATTCCTGACTTCTGCTTTACAGAATGTATACAATGGCCTTGCCTAACCTGTTGATTCCTTTCCTGGATTAAAAGGTGTTAAGAATGAAGGATTAAAGAACTACTGGCTCTCTACTCCCAGCTTCCCCATAGCAAATCTGCAGGCGGACCATGAAGGCAAGACAGCATCCAAAGAAAGATCAGGAGGGACTTCCCTGGTGGTGCAGTGGTTAAGACTCCACACTGCCAATGCAGGAGGTGCTGGTTTGATCCCAGGTCTGGAAACTAAGATCTCAGACACAGGCAGTGTGGCCAAAGGGTTTGGAAAAAAAGACTACTTTTTTTTTTCTTTTTACTAAAAAAAAAGATCAGGAGAAGTCAGTGGTCAGCACACAGTGGAAAAAGGATGAAGAATCTTGGCTCCTACCATAATGATTAATTGAGACTCCCCTCTTTTTCCCTTTAAAAATTGTCATGGCTGAGAAGAATCTGCAGAGTTGGGCTCTAGACATAAATTAAACTTCTTCCCAAACTGCTGGCTTTTCTCAATAAACCATCTTTCCTTTCTACTGACACTTGCCACTAGATTATTGGCTTTTGAGTGGCCAGCAGCCAAATCCTGAGTTTGGTAATGTAATATGTGTGTGTGTGTGTAGATATGAATATGGATATAATATGTATATAGCCATTGGGTTCCATTTCTCTGGAAAAGTGAAAGTCACTCAGTCGTGTCCAACTCTCTACAACCAGTAGACTGCAGCCCACCAGGCTCCTCTGTCCATGGAATTCTCCAGGCAAGAATACTGGAGTGGGCTGCCATTTCCTTCTCCAGTTTCTCTGGAGATTCCTAACTAATATAGCTACCCAGCCTGTGGTATTTATTACAATACCCTGAATTGGTCAAAACATAGTATTTCACTAAGATTCAGGGATCAGAATGCCAATGGTGCCAGGGAGGACACCCACTAAGCCTTAGGTCAAGGAATCATCCAGCAAGACCTGAAGTCTCAGCTGAGACCTGAAGAAGGCCCACGGAGTAGCCAAGTGAAGAAGGTATGGAACAGTATTCCAAGCAGAGGGAACAGCACACACAAAAGTCGGGAGTGTAGAGAACAGCATGCATTTCTTGAACATTCCTGGACATGGCAACTTCCTAATTTTTCCCATTATCCTCAATAACCCTGGGGCAGGCAGCAGCAAAATGGAAGTCAAACAGTGCTGGAGGTAAGGGTCTGTCTTTGAGTGTGGGGTTCGGCCTTCACAGGGTTGTCCACCTGAGCAGTCATCTGGGACCCCTCACTCAGAAGGGCCTGATGCTTGTTTAATGCCCTGCTGTCTTTGTTGGGGAAATTTTAATCACTTTTGGACAAGGGGCTCTACATTTTCCATTTGTACTGGGCCTTGCAAATTATCACCGAGTCAATGCACATGAGTTTGAGCAAACTCTAGGAGACAGGGACAGAGAAGCTGCTGGTGGGCTGCAGTCCATGGGGTCGCAAAGAGTTGGACACGACTGAGCGACTGAACAACATTGAGGATGCTGAGGGGTGAATGAAGGAAAACTAAATTTTTAATAGGGTATTAATGAGTAAGTAAATAAATATATAAGTGTGTGAATGAACGAACAAATGAATGAGAAATGAACAAGCGCCCAGGGCACGGACTCTTAGGGCCACCTGTACTTTCTGCTCTCCAAATCTACCCACTCCGACTCACTTTCCTGCCTCTCCTGAGCGCCCCCTGCCAGTGAGAGGTTTACCTCGCGAAGCCCAAATCGGACCACTCGCCTGGCTTCGCCTTCGTTCTCGCTTCTGGTTGGCTCCAAGTCGCTCGCCCTGCCTTTTATGGAATGTAGTCCTCTGGCTGGCGTCAGCGTTTCCTGTCGGCTCAGGCACTGACAGCCACAGGAAGTACATAGCCAAACTTCCCTGGGTCCCACAAGCCATTGCGATAGCATTGGATGACGGGAGTCGTAGTCCTTGAGCAGCCAGTTTCCGTCACAATTGGCTGGGATCGGAACTGCTATTCCCGCCATGCATCGTGCTCCCACTTCGCCGCGGCTGGCCCGCGGCATTCTGGGAGTTGTAGTTTTATCACCTTACAGTTCCTGTTCTGTCCCACGGAATGTGCCCGCTTAGAGAACTACATTTCCCTGCACGTTTCCATACGCCAACGGAAACAGGTCGCGGCAGCCATTTTGTTCCGCCCCAGAACCACCTAAGATGGCGGTGGGGGAGACGGTGAAGGTTGCCGCCTGCCCCTCGGGGCGCTAGTCCGCCGTCCCCCGGTCCCCTCGTCCTCCGGCGGCCGGCCCATGGCCTGGCGGAGGCCCAGATCATGGACCTCCACACCGCCGTGTACAATGCCGCCCGCGACGGCAAGCTGCAGCTCCTTCAGAAGCTGCTCAGCGGCCGGAGCCGGGAGGAGCTGGAAGAGCTGACGGGCGAGGTGGCCAGCGGGGGTACGCCGCTGCTCATCGCCGCCCGTTACGGCCACCTGGACGTAGTCGAGTACCTGGTGGACCGGTGCGGCGCGAGTGTGGAGGCGGGCGGCTCGGTGCACTTCGATGGCGAGATCATCGAGGGCGCGCCGCCGCTGTGGGCCGCCTCGGCTGCCGGCCACTTGGACGTGGTGCGGAGCCTGCTGCGCCGCGGGGCCTCGGTGAACCGCACCACGCGTACCAACTCGACGCCCCTGCGCGCCGCCTGCTTCGACGGGCACCTGGAGGTGGTGCGCTATTTGGTGGGCGAGCACCAGGCGGACCTGGAGGTGGCCAACCGGCACGGGCACACGTGCCTCATGATCTCCTGTTACAAGGGCCACCGCGAGATCGCCCGCTACCTGCTGGAGCAGGGCGCCCAGGTGAACCGGCGCAGCGCCAAGGGCAACACAGCCCTGCACGACTGCGCCGAGTCCGGCAGCCTGGAGATTCTGCAGCTGCTGCTCGGCTGCAACGCCCGCATGGAGCGTGATGGCTACGGCATGACACCGTTGCTGGCGGCCAGCGTGACGGGCCACACCAACATCGTGGAGTACCTCATTCAGGAGCAGCCTGCTGGGGACGAGCAGGCGCAGCCCGGGCTGGCCAGGGCGCAGCCCCAGGGCGCCCGCTCGTCCCCCGAGGAACCCCCGAGCGGTGAATCGTACGAGAGCTGCTGCCCCACGAGCCGGGAAGCCGCCGTGGAAGCCTTGGAGCTGCTGGGAGCCACCTACGTGGATAAGAAGCGGGATCTGCTCGGGGCCCTGAAACACTGGAGACGGGCCATGGAGCTGCGGCACCAGGGGGGCGAGTATCTGCCCAAACCGGAGCCCCCGCAACTGGTCCTGGCGTATGACTACTCGAGGGAGGTGAACACCACCGAGGAACTGGAGGCGCTCATCACCGACCCGGATGAGATGCGAATGCAGGCCCTGCTGATCCGAGAGCGCATCCTGGGTCCTTCCCACCCAGACACGTCCTACTACATCCGCTACCGGGGCGCAGTGTACGCCGACTCGGGCAACTTCGAGCGCTGCATCCGCCTGTGGAAGTACGCACTGGACATGCAGCAAAACAATCTGGAGCCTCTGAGTCCCATGACGGCCAGCAGTTTCCTGTCCTTCGCCGAACTTTTCTCCTACGTGCTCCAGGACCGCTCGGCCAAGGGCAGCCTAGGCACGCCCATCGGCTTCGCAGACCTCATGGGGGTGCTGTGCAAAGGGGTGCGGGAAGTGGAGCGGGCCCTGCAGCTGCCCAAGGAGCCCGGGGACTCGGCGCAGTTTACCAAGGCCCTGGCCATCATCCTCCACCTGCTCTACCTGCTGGAGAAGGTGGAGTGCACGCCTGACCAGGAGCACCTGAAACACCAGACAGTCTACCGGCTGCTCAAGTGCGCCCCCCGCGGCAAGAACGGCTTCACCCCTCTGCACATGGCCGTGGATGCAGAGACCACCAACGTGGGCCGATACCCGGTGGGCAGGTTCCCCTCCCTGCAGGTAGTCAAGGTGCTGCTGGACTGCGGGGCCGACCCGGACAGCCGGGACTTCGACAACAACACCCCACTGCACATCGCAGCGCAGAACAACTGCCCGGGCATCATGAACGCCCTGATTGAGGCGGGGGCCCACATGGACGCCACCAACGCCTTCAAGAAGACGGCCTACGAGCTGCTGGACGAGAAGCTGCTGGCCAAGAGCACCATCCAGCCGTTCAACTACGTGACCCTGCAGTGCCTTGCAGCCCGCGCCCTGGACAAGAACAAGATCCCCTACAAGGGCTTCATCCCTGAGGAGCTGGAGGCCTTCATTGAGCTGCACTGACCACAGTGGGAGAGGCGAACCCCGGGAGGGCGGGGCCCACACCGGTCCCGCCCTCTCTCTGGGAGCACTTCCGGTGGCTAGAAACCTGGGAGAGCGACAAAGGGGAGGGGCTCTCCCGCCTCCATGGCCGCCTGTCCTCCGCAGGGAGCAGGGATAGGAGTGAGCGAGCTGTCGGTGCTAGAAGCCTTCAGGGTGACGCGCTCGGAGAATGGACTTTATCGCAGGAGCCTGCGCACCCATCCATGGCTGGGAGAAGACGCTCAACCTCCCACACGCCCTGTTTGCCTGGGTTAAGGAGGGTCTTGCCTTCTGACTCAGAGGCAGATGAGTTGAAGCCATTGCCTTCCTCCCCCACCTAGAAACGCAGGAAGAAGCTGAGAGTTGGTCCGCCCCTGGAAAGACCTAGACACCCCCCCACACACACACTCAGTGCAGGGTTAGGACGGCGGGCCCCGAGGGGAAACTGGACCTGCCTTTTCTAGCACGTTCGCACCTGCTCCCTCCACCCTGCAGTGGGTAAGGGTCTCCACCCGGGGAGGGGCGGCCTGCCCTTTGCGTAGCTTTCGTGGTTTGGTGTTCTGTTTATTTTACTAAGCGGGCAGGTTACAGGTGTGATGCAGGAGTCCTGAAGTTTTGCTGCCATATACTTTTTTTTTCTTTTTCTAAAACTTTTGGTTTGTCAGACTCGCTAAATTCATTTCATGCAGCGAGGGTTTTGTCGTGCCCGAGGCGGCCCCGGCCGACAGAGGTGAGCTTTATTGTGTTAGGAAAGGGAGGTGCCAGCCCCACGTATCCGTCCTCAGAGCAGAGGTGACGGTACGTTTCTTTCTGATAGTTCACTCTTAGCCTTTTTGGGGGTCAGGCTGCCTCACGCCCAGCAAAACCTAGCATGGTTGGTTTGGGCTTTGGTTTTCACAATTTATGAGTTAAAACCGCAGGCCGCTTCCACGTCACAAGTTACGCTTGAGGGCACAGGTACGTGGCCAGCATCCTGAGTGGCTGTGTCCAGTTTTTAGCTGCTCGGAGACCTGGATGCAGGTGACCCTGAGGCAACACCAGGTACACTGTTTACCCACTGTGTCAGCTAGATAGACGGGGGGTCGAGACGGGTTGCCAATTAAGGTGGAAGGAAATCTCGGCCTCCCATCACTGGGGGCTCCTGGGTAGGGGAATTGTTAGTCCCCCTGCCAGAGACCCCTCCCCAGTGGGATTCTCAGGGCCTATCCTCCATGGCCCTGGCCGCCAGCAGGAGAGTGTTCTTGGCCTGTTGGGGGAGCGGAAGGGGACTGGAGCGGACACCCCTCCCGCAGCCTTGTCACGGGGCAGCTACACTGATGGAAGCCTTCCACAGGCGCAGTGGGTCCCCGAATGCCCCGCCCCACCGAGGGAACCAGGTCTCTTTGGATTTGCAGTGTTAGTTAGGACGTTCTTTATTTCCAAGACCAGGTTTTGCCTTCCATCAAGGCGGGAACCGCCCTCACTGTCCCTCCTAAAGCCCGGAATAAAGAGAGGAGGCAGTGTCAACTGCAAGTGCGGTGCTGTTGTTCAACCTTGTGTTAACTGGACGACTGGGAGTGGGGGGTGGGGAAGGGAGTGCTGAGGTGGTGGTGGAGGAGAGGGGTCTGCCGGCTGTGGAAGACCCAGGTAAGGGAACACGGCTCCCGTCCCAGTTTATGTCCTGGGGCTTAGTGTCAGAGTTAGTCAGGAGAATGAATTACTGCAGAAAAAAACATAAAACCACTGACTTAGTCGTCAGCTCTGCTTTGCAGGAGGGCTGCCTCAGGAGAGCGTGGCATGATCTGACCTTCTGGAAGATCTAAGGGAACGGGAAGGCCCCCAACTCAGCCCTGCTTCCCTGAGACTTTGTGATGGAGCCTATGAACTCTCTGGCCCAAGAGGTCTGTGCATGAACTTGGGTTTCCTGGAGGAAAGTCCCACCCTTTCCTTTTGTCCTGCCGTGTTAAATTCTGATTTTCTCTGCACTGGCATGGTCAGTCACCTCCGCCAGCAGCATCGTCCTGGGAGACTGACGTTGACTGTTTCCCCAGGACCTGCCTTGCAGCAGGCTGGGTTCAAGCCCTGGTAGAGGAGAGGATTGATCCAGCCATACCTGAGGCAGGCGTCTCCCCACATCCTCACCTCGCAAGACAATAGGGAGACTGTGCCTTGGGGCCGTCTCACTTCCAGTGGCGAATTGGGTGGGAGGGTTCTCCAACCCCTGCTTTCACTGGGACCCTTACCATCCCACACCCACCCAGCAGCCATGCAAATATATGGTGGTCACCCTGGAGGAGTGGGTTTTGAGTCAGCAGGTGCTCTCAGCAGCCTCCCAGGAGACACCTGCACTGGCAGCATTTACTGAACCCCGACTGGATGGTAGGCCCCATTCTGCGTGTTTGACAGGACGCACCAAAGAGGGGAACCCATTTGGGCCAAATGCTTGCTTTCTTTAAAAGCTCACACCTGAGGGGCTTCCCAGGTGGCGCAGTGGTAAGGAGTCT